AATGAGGTACGTTTTAACCATTTATAGTTGCATTTAATGTGGAACATTTGCGAAACAATTTAGTTTCAGTTATCATTTGCATTATAGCAGCCGTCTTTCCCTCACCAGTCTCTTTTTTCCTCTCTCATGAAGACAATTAGACAAATAGCTTTCTAATAGCTTTCTTTAGTTACAGCTTTACCTCTGATTGTTACAAATGCTGACACTGGACACTCCTTCCATAAATGTTAAATAAACATCTCCTCACCAACAACTGCACCATTTCAACAATAATACACAGAAGGGTCCACCACAGAAGTGCCTATGCAAATTGTTACTATGGAAATGACAACATACAAGAACAAGAGCATTATTACAAACCTGCAATTTTTCTTATAGCCAAAACTACTAAAGAGCTGTTGACCAATCAGAATCGAGCACTGAACAGCGCTGTGGCTTAAGTGCTGTGGCTTAATGTAATATTGCTTATATACTTCAGCAATATTGCACAAGCAAGAGTGCTGTTATATTGAATACACACCACGAGCCCACAGGTAATCTCAGCTGTGCTGATATTCAGTACAACAGTACGACTGTGAGTGTGATACTGTTTTTATACAACAGTTCTATTACTAGAACTGCTCTATTTTTGCTCCATCCATGGAAATAGTACCCTAAGAAGCCGCAGCTGGATAGACCGTTGCGTGTTGCCATATAACACAAAGACTGACTGACAGCCTTGTAGTAGTTACAGTTTCATAGTAACAAACTATTACTAGTATTGGAATATTATATGAACACATCAGGCAGAAAAACAGTGAAATATTCCAGTGCTGTTATAATAATATCAGCATTCATGGAACAGAGCTTGACCAATCAAGTTAGTGGACCAGAACTGTTGTATATTTATATTTACACTACAAATAGTGGTATACTATTAAGGTGAAACATTTGAAACTGTCAGTTATAGAAATAACGACACATACAGTAAGTGAGTAGGTTTATATGAAGTCTTTAAAAACAGAACTTCTAACTTAACCTGAAAGCAGTTGGGATAATAAGGAACGTGTAAATACAGTGGACTGAGATGGACAGACTCACCACACTCCACCATGACTTCATATGTTTTACTCTTCACTTCTCCCTTCAGGCCCAGCTTACTGCGGGCCCCTTTCAGGTCCTCCTCCTTCATAGGCGGACGCTTCTTCTTCTTCACCTCTCCTGGCTGAGGGAGTCAATCAGACGATAAAAGAAATCTGACTTGATTCTCGGGCGACAACGAACACGTTACATTTGCATATTTGTCGACATAAGCACGTACCTGAGACATGTCGTATGTCCGTATGATCCTGACTAGCAGCAAGCTGGCCGTTTACTCGTCCCACTCCTATCTCTGTGTCCTTTATATATCTTTCTCTCAGTGTTATCCTCTCACTGGTGCTATCTCTGTCTTTCTGTTATCACAGTGTATTATTAGATATGACGTCAGTGACAGTGAGGCCAAAGTGGATGATCCTTCTCATTGAGGGTGACGGCCATGAACAGCTGGACAAAAAAAACACAAAACATTCCCATACCTCCCACATAACATTATACTTCATCTACTCTACTGAAATCTGACCCACTATAATGCTTTATAGTTTTATTATGACACAGCTCTGTATAATGCCCTTACATGTGACGTACAATATTCATTTAAACAACAAACTATGTGTAAGTGTCACATCAGGTCAGTTTAATATATAAAACAGAAGGTTTTATAAAGAGGTTTTATTCTCTTAATATATGTCCTTGAATATATAAAATGAGTTTTAACAACAGGATACAAATTGAATGTTATAGTAATATTAGATAAAATATTGTAGCAGCATGATTCATTTTTCAAATATAGGCTAGATAGTTTCATTTCTTTGTATCTGCTTAAGTAAGATAAAGCCTATATTGCCAAATGTATCTGGCTCTTTTAATGCCATAAAAGTATGACACGTTTATTTTAATTCTACGATCATGACGTATGAAAATAAAGACAGTCATAATAAAGAACCAAGAAAAGGTGTTCTTACAAATACTGTTTTTCATAAACAGCCGTTGAATAAAATTGACTGTCTCTTTAAAAATAAACAATGACATTACTTTAATTAATAAGCCCTAAAACATTCTTGACACATTAACCACTAATGATTTTGTCAACTGAGCAGATCCTAAAACAGGTCTTAGGCTAGACACAGGGACAGTGACGGGGACATCTGTAATCACTGGGACATTTTCCGATAGAAGCTTGGTCACAGCAAAACAAAATAACAAAGCACTTTTTTTTTTCTGGGACAATGAGTCAGCCTTAGTGAATGAGTGCAGCAGTCAGAGTGTGTGGATGTGTGTGTGTGTGTATTTTTGGGGAAAGCAGGCTATGAATAGTCACTGAGGCGATGTGTCTGGCACTCTGTGTGATCTGGTTAGACTTAAGAAACACTGGCAAACGCTGGCATTAGAGAGTCAGTATTTTATGTACTGTAAATATCTGAAGTTAGAAATGTCATGAAAACACTTTTTTTGCGATACGATATATATTATTCTTCACTATCAAGCTCTACTTTATTGTTGAGGAAACGTTGCAGGTCCTGTGAGGAAGATCAACATGATCAACATGGCAAAATGGCAGCTTTTATTATTCAAATAAATAAATAAATAAATAAATAAATAAATAAAAATTCAAAATCCCAAACAAAATCAATCCAGTATAATACTTATTCCTGCTAAGTATAACATAAAAATTTATATATATATATATATATATATATATATATATATATATATATATATATATATATATATATATATATATATATATATAAATAAATATAAAGCTATTCACTGTTATGGTAACTTAGGTGGCTACTGTTATTACTGCGTAACCTACCTTATGTCACTTTACATTATATTGAGCCAAGAGTAATTCTGTGATATTTCAGCCTAGATTCAGATAGATTTTTCTGCTGATATCTGATGCAGAATTTTCTGCCGATATTGGTTTTATTGTTTTTTTGTTTTTTTTTAATTTGATATCTGATAAGATATTTCATCTTACTGGATTCCAAGTCATCCAATTTCCAAACATTTTGGCACTAACTTCACAGATTACTGATATTTCTCTAGCTTTTGTTAACTGAGGGTTTAAATCTCCTAGCTTCTGTCTTGCCATAACAATTCACAGGACAAGACATCTTATTTAACAGTGTTTTGGCTTTGGCTGGAAGTCGGATAATGTTAGTATTTAAAAAAAAAAAAGAATTAATTATTTTATTATTTTATTAATTAATTATAGAAACACCTTATCCTGGAAAATAATATGAACATAGTCAGTACAGCATTTTTTTTAAAAATAGAAATACACTATCCCGGAAAACTATCCTGAATTAAATATGGTCAGTAAAACAAAAATGTGTTTAATTCTATATTATTTATTAATTTATTTTTATTTTTAATATAAAAACCCTATCTTAGAAAATAACATGAAAACAATAAAAACATAACCTGAATAACCTGAACATTGTCAGTACAGTAAACATTTCCTTGTCCAATAACAAAGGCCCGGTACTCTAAAGGTCTGCTTCATTAAGATCAACAAGCTGTGCCCTAATGCTACATGTTTGTCTGTGTGTGTGTGTGTGTGTGTGTGTGTGTACGCTGACATACTGTGTGTATATTCCAGGCTATGCTCAGGCTGTCCATACAACACCTATAATGAGTGCACTGTGTTATGTCTGCAGTCCTGCTCTCAGTTTACACTTACCATGTTTTCTCAGTAACCGGATGCTCAGCATGCTCACTCACATCATTGATGCACTGTTTATGAACTCCATTGTGGTTAGGATTCGGTGCTCTCACTGCCATGGTCTGGGTTTGATTCCCAGTCAGGGAAGCAGCTTTACTATATATGCATTAAACCCATGGTGTTCTATGTTGAGAATAGAGGTTATCAACTGTGGTTCATGTGAGGAACAACTGGTGGCACAAAATAAAGTATAATTGCTCTGTATTTTTGTTTGTAGTGGCAGTAAGTTAGACACACCTAGTGCAGTGTTAGAAGTATCAGTGTTCTTACTGCCGGAGCCTTCAGAGGTGCAACTCTCAGGCTCTAAAAATCTTTATTATGTAAGCCACAGGTTCCCACACGTGCATATTTTAGTGGTTTTCCTGCTTCCTACACACCTGATTCCACTAATCAAAGAATTAACAGCTCTGTATGAGCTGAACTGAGTGTGTGAGCAGGGGAAACACTAAAGTGTGCAGGACAGGGGGTTCTCCATGACCAGGGGGGAAGAACCTGTGGTGTATGCATTAACTCACTGGTGTTCAACATCTGTAGTCATTGTTCTGAGTAAAAAATAGGACCTTGACGGGATTTGAAAGCAGTGAACTGAAGAATCATGTTTAAACAAATTAACTCATTAATTCACTTTTTTTTAGTTTGAACAGTTTCTTGAGAGAAAAGGTTGTCCTTAATTTTACCCTGTCTCAAATATACTTCGTAGACCGCTACTTGAAGACCATAAAACAGCTCTGACCTAGCTAGAATGTAAAAATAAACCAAAAAGATCTCAATGTAATACAAGTTTAAACCGAAATTAAAGAATTTACTAGTATGTAGAAAGATTATCTTTCAACTAATCAATTTTGCCAAAAGTGAGAAATAGATAGCAAAGAACTAGATTAAAAAAAGGCAAGTGACACTACAGGGATCACCAAAACCAAACATCAAATCACATGCGGTGCACCATATTTAAATCTGAAATCAAACAGACCGGTCAGCAATGAATAAGATATCTTTCTTTTGCGACCGCCTGCTGTGCCTGCGTGATTGCTAACATATTGTGTGGATTATCCAGGGTATGCAGTGCATTCGTTCATCTCCACGGGTCATGCTTTACATTCCGTTCTGGGCTTGCCCCATGTCAATGTTCCTCAGGCGCTGCAGTCTGTGCATGTTTCTAACTATAGCTAAAACAAACCCCCTTCTCTCTTCCTGGAGGTCTAGTGGTTAGGATTCGGCACTCTCTCCGCCGGGGGCCGGGTTTGATTCCCAGTCAGGGACGTACTATTTTGTTAAAACGACACTGTGAAACATTTGAAAGGTTTTTTTTTTAATAGTCAGTAGGCAGTAAAAGAAATTTTACATTGTTTATTGAAAAAGCATGTAATGATAACGCAACTTGTGAGTAATCCCAATCATGTAGTAGTTAGTATTTAAAGGTAGTGGTGCCCGAACACCAACTTCACCGAAGTGTCCATGATCAGTGTTTATCAAAACAAACATAATTCACCATCAGCATTACTGCCAATCATCACAGTACTCCAAAATCAGCAGGACAAGTAAGGGCACGAGAACCTCGAGACATTAGAACACACTCACGCCGACACCAGGAACAACTGGCGGCACAAAAATTCACAAAATGTGAGATTTTGTACACTGATTTTCTCAAAATCCTTAGGGAAAAATGCTACAATTTATCAATTTATACAGGATGCCAAAATCTGAACTTTGCTACAGAGATGGCATAATGTATGAAAACTTCCAAAAAAAAAAAACGGTTCCATGCCTACAGGATATCACATAATACACCAGATGTTTTATACATTAAAAAAAAAACAAACAATAAGAACAGTGACACCAAAGTGATTAAACAAATTGTGCAAAAGGTGACCAACAACTCAATCTAAATCTCCCACCTGGACTAAGGAACCGTAAAACACTGCAGAACGAGAAAGTCACACAGACACAAACGCGCAGACAGACGAACATTACCCAAACACACACTTTGCAGAAAAGGTTATGCAAGGATGCTCCATTTTATATGAAACCATATGAATACATACTGTAGGTAACTTAAAAAAAAATAAAAATAAAAAAAAAATAAAAAATTTGTTTTGCCTTATACTGCTTGCCAAACCATTTGTTCCTGAGATCTTCGTGCCACACAAGTTCAACGTAAACATGATTAAACCGCCACACTTGTTATTATTATTTGTTCTACATATAGTTGACGAGACAATGAGCTAACAAGACAGAAGATAAATGTTAAGGTAGAGGTGTGCTTGAAGACTGGGTCAATTCTCCCAAGTTAGATTTTGCTGCTTTTGTCCTCCACATAAAGTACATCCAGGCTGAGCGGCCATTACGGCCATTACAGCCATTACAGCCATACAGCAAATCCAGTCTATGGGTATGAAGAAGCAGCACGGATCACCAGTGCACACTTTCCTTAGTAAGGTGGTCGACATCATATAAAAACCGAAAGATCTGAGATCAACAGTGGTTTGTAAAGAGACATGGCTATAGAAGCCAGCAGGAAGGAGTCATATTCCTCTCCCATTGTTTTGGGGGTCCAAGACACTCCCACAGCTTCACAGCTCCATAATCAGTACCTAGGGCTTTGTTCAGGAGTGTGTTATTACTCCTACCTGCAGATCCATGCACAGATGGAGGTCTGGACACATGCTGATCTCTCTATCAGACTATCAGAAGGCAGCAGAGTGAGTCTGTGACAGGAACGAGAAGGTCTAAAGCCTGATCTCACATCAGACAGGAATGCCCAGTCGGTGTTTCTTTTTCTTAACAGTTTTGAGACCGGTGAGCCTGCGTACATCCTCGTCGCCGTCCGAATCCTCCATTTCGTCATCCGCCGAAAACAGGATCTGATCAGGGTAGAAAACCTACAGTTACTTTCTTAAACACACATCTTTAAGAATTCAGTAACAAACATACACACACAAAAGTATTATTAATATGTCTTAGGACTAGTTTTGGTTTTATTCATCATGAATTGTTCATTATTTAAAATGACACACTGATAAAATGCAATGAAGCTGTGATTAATATGTAAAGAATAAAACATTTCAGGCGTGTGCTGTTTTAGGAAATCAATCAAACACAACAGTGGTGTGGTGTGGCCTGTCATGAAGTTGAGTTACTTTTCCTATAACCGCATACCATGAAGACTTTTATCCTCACATAGTTATAGCTGTATATTTCTACCATATTATATAACTGGTGCAAACTCGTAACTTTTAGTCCATGACCAACGTCTATGGTTTAGTCGTAGCAATTTTATTGCCTTGCTATGGCGAGGCGGGATTATGGGTGATTCATTTCCTGGTGAATTTGAAAACCTTGGTTTAACAACATGTCCTGTAGTGTTTTATTTTTCTTTCCACAGCAATTTGCCAACACTAACATTTTTTTATTTATTAAAAAACAACACATCATATTTTTTTAATCTGTTTACAGTTATGTTTAATGTTGTGGAACGTCCATGTCCATCACTTACATTATAACAGCAATAAAACAGTCGTCCGCATACCTACTTTCTCTTAAAGTCACAGTAAAAATGCAGCTTGTTACGGAGAAAGTCCTCCATCCTTAAGACTTTCCCCGTGTTGAGAAACATTTTTTTTTAATAACTTAGGCTTAGACTATATAAAGTGTCTGCCATACACGTCCTTGTGTACATTGTTACTATAGAAATGATTAAGAATTGTATTAAAATAACCTGTGATCTGCATTACAGCCAGAACTACCTTCAGAGCTGCTGTTATAGAAAATTAATCAACACCCTCTGACCAATCAAATTCGAGATTCAACAGCGCTGTGGTATAGTGGTGATTTAAATACTAAGAAAAATAACTGATCATTTTACCAATTACAGTAAAACCCTTTCGTATTTGGAAATTAAGAAAGGACATTTTGATTTTTTTAAATTTTTTTTTTAGATTAATACCATCAATGTAAGCATCAGGTTCAGTGCAATCTTTGTACACACAATATTTAGAGAAATGTAATAAAAGGAAAGGCCATAATATGAACCTGAAAAGCTCTTTCACTTCACAAGAAGATTCAAATTCATTACCACTGCAGCACAGGACAGAATCATATAAAAGCGAGATGCTTAGAAACCCGGTATACAAACAATTCGAGTTTACACACACAACCTGTGTAATAACTTCTACAACAAATGACTCAACTGTACTAAATGATCTGAAACGCAAGGGAGAGTTAATGGTTCATAAGAACTCTTTGCTCCATGAGCACAACCCTCGTCCGTCACACAGCTAATGAGAAAATCAGAAAGAGTAGGTCCTGTGTAAAGGATATGGGGCGAGTCATTCTCAGCCACACCTGCTTCATAAGCCTATAAAATAAATGTCTCACATTCAGAGCAAACAAAAAAAACAAACAAAAACACTGAGGCAGCCAAGACAGCAGGGTTTATGGGTGAAGCCATGTTACGTAATTACCTCTTAAAGCATTAGATGTCACTCACCAAACCTAATTAGCTGGTTTATTAGTTCATGTCAACTGAATGAACTAATAATGTTTTAGTCATTCCGAATCTGTGCCCTGTTAAATTATTTCTCAGTTTAGGAAAGATCCTAAGTCCAGCTTTAAGCTCCTTCCTGAACTCAGAAGTGTGTGTGTGTGTATGTGTGTGTCCTCACCTCTGATTCGGAGTCGTCGTGAGAGAGCGCTCGTCTGTAGCGCACCTTGCTGCTACCTCGTGAATCGTCCCCAACCTCTCTCTCCTCCAGCTTGGCTTTTGTCCTGCCTTTCTTCATCAGGAAGTTATCGACGACCCAGAACATCAGTGCCTGGCCACGCACACAAAAATTTATAACTGCTACTAACTCAAAAGATCTCAATGTCTCAGTAAGGAGTGTTGTTTCACCAGAGGAAACGGACGTTCTACTTACATTAACAAAGAATGGCACGATTAGCATAACGAGAGCCAGCTCCAGCTGTGGGTTTGTGATGGGGTTCAGCATAGCCAGCTGTGCACCGCGTACATCCAGGCACAAAAACAAGACATAAGAGAATATTCAGGATAAAGTTTGAGCTTACACGACACTCCTTCCATCTTATATCACATATTTTCCACATAGATTTACTTGCTGTTGTCTAATTGGAAGATGTGTGTAAAAATCCTCCTGTAATTATAAGCTGTTAAAGTCTCCCAAAATGTGGATTCATTTTCTATAACAGCGGCTCTGACGGTAATACTGGCTGCAAGATTTATATTAATGCACTCACTTTAATACATCATCTCTAATTTCTATAGTATACATACACAAGCAGTTTTGTGACAAATGCTCCATATAAACAGATTTTTAAAAAATGCATGTAGTCATGGATATGATGAAGTTTTCTGTGAGGAGATGTTTATTTAATGTTTATGGAAGGACTCTCCAGTGTCAGGGCTTTGTAACAGCCAGAGATAAAACTGTAACTTTAAGCGTTCATGTCTTTACAGTTTCCCAGTCTTACAAACTTCAAGAGAAAGAAAAAAAGAAAGAGAGACTGGTAAGGATGTTCCACAACCTTAAATGTAACTATAAATGGATTAAATGAATGAAGTGACAGTCTTTGCTCTGGTATAAGAAGAATTAAACATGCCAGGATGTGCTGCTATTGATTTTCTTCCTATAACAACACATCTCCTAGTATTTTATACCTTAGAAATATATAAGAGCCAATAATATTTAATGGTTTAGCAGTGGAAGGAGAAAGGGGTGTGTTTACATATTAATATTCTATTATTATATATCTACATTCTATAATATTATTTATATTCTTATTATATTCTATTCTTCTTCTTCTACTTATTATTATAATATTCTGTTAATATTTGCATATTAATAGAATCTGTTTTCTTTAGTGAGAATAATGAGATTTTTAAAAATATTGTCTTTAAAAAAATCAAGGTTTTGAGAGACTTTAATGCGAGTTTTCCAAAATTATGACCAAATCCTTGGGCTTCCATTAAAAGACAAACTAGAGTCTAATACTGCAGAATGTAGAACCCATCGCTCGTATACATTCAGGGATAAAAATAAAAGCTACAACTCACGCAAATCAAATCTTCAGTGTAAAGTGCGTCACTGACCTTCTTCCACTGAGGGATTAGAAGCACCAGGATGATGACCACCTTCTCAAACATCATAATTAGGATGTATAGCGCACACTGGCCTGCCCAGGCAGTGCATTGTACTGGCTCCCCTACACACACACACACACAAGTGACTAACAATATATTGCAAATG